TGGTAGGATGGAAGAAGTGTTCTAGCATTTCTCCTTCTTCCATTTTTTCTGCTCTTTTTCTTTTCTTGTTTTGTCAAGAGCTGGTGGAGATAAGAGGTTGCCAGGTGAATTCTGTTCAGCTGAAGTTGGGTTGTTTTTTTTTTTTTTGTGTGGTTTGGGATTCAGGTGCTGTTAAAGAAGTAAAAACAGTCTCCCAGATCTGACAGGAGAATGAAATCCAAGATCACCCCCAGAATCTGTGTAGGAAATCTCCCSAGAGCTCATCCTCAGAAACAGTGGTGTCATTGCATAATGCCTTCCCTGTCTCTTCCAGGGGACAACGGGAAGCCCCAAAGGAGCCACCCTTTCCCACAGGAACATTGTGAATAATGCCCATTTGATTGGTTTGAGGCTGAGCCTCACAGGTGAGGTGAGTCTGGCTGGGAAAAGGGTTTGGGGAGTTCTCCACTGCAACAGGAGAATGCTGCTGTTTGCTCAGGAAGGGCAGGATGTTCAGCTGCAAATGACACTGAGRGATATTAATGCATGACATTTTGCATTTCAATGGAGTTCATTGATGTTTCATTTTGGTTTCATGTGAAGGGTGTTTTTTTAGGCAAAAAAAAGCTATCTTTTTGTGGGGGAAAAACATGAAATTAATCACTTTTCATTTTGGTGAATACTCATTTCAAATAATTACAAGACTGGATGTTAGCTTTGAATTCTGTTGAATGAGGTTTTAATTTGATTTACATGACTTTCATTTAATGTCATGTTTACAATCTTAAAACTTTTATCAGGGTACGACCTCTCTATTTGTGGTTTCTTTTAAAAATTGTTAAAGACAAATATTTTCTTTTGAAGTTYTGAAGCACTTATTTCTAACATATCAGCTTTGATCCAGAGAATAGATGAGTTGTTTCAATCAGTCTTCAGAGCCTTTGGTGTTTTTTAAAAAAACAAAATAAAATGAAGAGCATGTGCCAAGTCCTGCATATTTCATAGCTCTCACAGCACTCCCACTCCTCTCTTTTGGCATATAATGTGTAAGCAATACCAGACCAAAGAGTCCAGCAAGGAAGAGACATTGCAAAATTTCAGGATGAAATATTGATGTAAAAAAACTTCTCAAACTGATTTTTATTAAAAGCAGGATGTTCCAGTTGCATTTTTTACTAATGGGAACACAGCAGAATGTCAGATTTCCAGCCAAGCAGCTCAGGAAAAATCTCTGTGCTCAGATCTTTGCTCTTCAGCAGGGAGATGGGCTGGTCACACCCTGGGAGTGTCCTGTGCTCACTGTTGTCTGGTTGATCCCAGGAGAAYCGCTGGGCTCTGCCTGCACCCCTGTACCACTGCCTGGCGTCGGTGGGAGGCTGCATGATGATGGCTCGCTACGGCATCTCCTGCATCTTCCCGTCGCCCGGCTTCGAGGGCAAGGCTGTGCTGGAGGCTGTGGCTCGAGAGAAGTGAGAGCTTGTTTTGCTGCACAGCAGCTCTTGGCCTCGTGGCTCTGCTTCTTKGCTTGTACCTGCCAGGASCTTGCTTGTGCTCTTCYTTCCCACCATGGGAGAGGCGGGTTTGCTGCTGCACTCGGATGCACAGGAGCTTCAGGAGCCAAAATTTGCCTTTTCAGCTCTGCTTGGGAGTGTGTCACCCTTCTCCCAAAGTTAAGGGATCTTTCAGGTCACCATAGGGCTTTGGCTGGGAAATGCAGTGGTGTCTTGGTTTGCTGTGGCTGYTGTGTTTTCACATCTGAGCACCTGTCCTTCTCCTCCAAGNTGTGGCTGTTGTGTTTTCACATCTGAGCACCTGTCCTTCTCCTCCAAGAGCAGCTCTGCTGCTGGGGTAATTGTGTTTGCAGATTGTTCCTCAAGAGTAGCTTGGGAAACAAAAGACCTGTTGCTGTATCTGCATCGTACATGTATATATATCTATATATTTTTATATTTATGTATATCTGTGTGCACTGACAAAGATCACATCTGCTGTGCCTGCCTTCGTGCTGCTGCTCTGCAGGGTGGGATGGGATGGGATGGGATGGGATGGGATGGGATGGGATGGGATGGGATGGGATGGGATGGGATGGGAGCTGTGCTGGGTTTGCCCCCAGTTCCACCTCTGCAGCTTTGCTTTTTTTCTCTCCTCTTCCTCAAGATGCTCCCACGTGCTCGGCACGCCCACCATGTTCATAGACATGCTCTCCCAGCCAGACTTTGACTCCTATGACCTGTCSTCTCTCCGGGGAGGTAAGTCTTGGAGCTCAAATGGGAAAATCCTGCGGAACAGGATACTCCTGGTTGCCTGCTGGGAGGTTTTATTAAGTTTTGTGAGCAAACAGCTCTCTTGGTGGGAAGAATTCAGTTGTGCAAGCCTTGTGTTTCCCCTGTTAATYTGATGCTGCATTTCCTTTCCTTGGGGAATCCTTCCATCATTATCTATTTTTGGACTCRTTCATCWTAAGRCAGCCTAGGGAAGGACCTTTCTRTTTTAGCTGCAAGGGGAGGTGTCASAACAGCCTGATTTCCCTCAACTCTCCTCTCTCCAACCACCACCGTGTGGCAGCAGATGCTTTCTGTGCCTCAGGCTGATGCAGTCCCTGAAACAGAGCCATGCTCAGATTTTTTTCTCTGACCTGAAGTTTCCTGCCTGTTTTTGAAGTCATTGATCCCATACTGGAGGGTGTGATCCCTTGTGCTGGAATTTCCTCTCCTGTCAGAGCTCACCTTGGGAAGAGCTGAGCTGAAACAAGGAGACCACCAGCTCTTTGGAGGCAATAACAGCACAGAGAGAARGTGGTGCTGGAGCATCAGGAAATATTTTAGCAGGTTACCTGATCATCTCTGCTATGTGTAAAATGATCCTGTCTCATCCTCTTCCTCAGTAAAGCCCATATATTACCCCACTCTTTTGCCCTGTCATCCTAGGTTGGAACAGGTGAATGTGGGATCTGTCCTCTCCCAAAGGGCCCTCTGTGCATGACAGGAGGAAAGATTTTTGGTTTTGTGGTGATGATCGATGGGAGTGTTTGTTGCACTAAAAATCTGTGCGTCTTTCTGTTAAAAATCTGTGCATCTTTCTGCTCTGAATAGGGTTTTGGGTTTTTTTTGGTGTTGTTTTTTGGGTTTTTTTTGGTTTTTTTTTTTTGTTTTTTTTAGAGCTGCAGATTGGATTAGGTTTGTGCTGTAGAGTTTATTTTTCTGTTGAGAAAGGCCAACTGACCTCGCTGCAGCCTTTGCTTCTAGAAAACTAGGGTCAGTATCCCAAAATGTAGAAAGTATTTTGTCAGGAACCAATGTATCCCACAGCTCTGTCCAGCATTAAATCTGGAAGTGCAGAACCATTTGAAGGACTGCTCCTGGGAACAATGAGCTGGTTTCCAAGGTCTTTTCCTCTTTCTTCCAGGAATGGTTGGAGGTTCTCCTGTTCCCCCTGAGATCATGAAGGCAATTATGAGCAAGATGCACATATCAGAGCTGGTGGTGAGTTGTGGTTGCTGGGACCAGAGCTGCGAGGGGTGTTTGTCAGGGTGAGAATCTGAGTTTGAACTGCAGTGGTGCCTGGTGGTGCCAGATCAGGCTGGAGAAGGAGGGTGCAGAAGAGCTGGAAGGCAGAAGTGGRGGTTCTGCCTGGTTGCTGCTGGGGTGAGTGGGGAGGAAGCTTTGGAGAAAGACAAAACGTCACATTCAATGTCATTGAGTGAAATTCTGCTGCTCATTTCACAACTTTCAGAAATGTTCAGTAGCACACACTGCCAGGATGGTGATGGCAGAGGCAGTGCTGGTTTGTATCAGTGTGGGTGGGTGCTCGTACTCCTCTGGCTATGGAGCTGTCAAGTTTCTTTCCCCATCCCAGATTTCCTGTGGATGTGAAACCTCCTTGCGTGGCTTTTATAGTGTCTAAGGCTGTGGGAATGGTGCCATCCACATGTGCAGCACCAAATATTGCATTGCCAGAGGGGCAGCACGTGCTGGGCCACGTGTCCTGCTGTTCCACCACGTGTGCCACCACCCTTGGCCTGTGAAAAAACCACCCCATGGAGGGCCAGGCCACCAAAAAGGGCTCAGTGTCCCTCCAGGTGACACATTTCCCACCATCTGCATGCAAGTGGCAGAGCCAGAAAAGGGYTGTTTTGTTTTACCCTAAAGGAAATTAATTTGGTGCCACGCTGCTTCCCAAGGATGAACACGTGGGGCTGGCAGTCAGATTAGGCTGTTGTTGYTGGCAGACCCTGACTTGCACCAGCACTGGGGTTTTACAGGGACAACYGTGTGCTCTGCCACGGACCAGGGGAATCCAGGGCATCCTGGATGCTGCCAGGGATTTTTCCTGGGTATGATGCTCTTAATGCTGAGCTGGAAACATCAGGGACAGCCCTGGTGCTGCTGCTTGAGCTCTGTCAGGTGACAGATACCTATTTTTGTAGTACGCTTGAGTTTGGCCTCATGAAATATTTTCAAGCATTACTGTGAGATCTCAGGACTCATTAGGTGTCACATGTTCCTGTTTTGTAGAGAGAGAAATAGTAAAACCCTCCCAAACAGTTGCTCTGCCCATGGATAAAGAGGATTAAGTCTATATTTGTGCCACTGGTCTCATGTTACTCCTGATCYCTCCAGCCCTCAGACAGACACAGAGACTTGTTGAATTCATCTTTGCAGCAAGAGCTTTATACAGAAGATGTACATAAGAAAATATACAATTTGATTTCTATATAGGAGGCAGAGGAGCTTTCACCCTCTTAAAGGTCATTTACACTCAGTTACAGAGGAATAAATATACATATATTTATATAACTCTTTAGGATTAAAAAAAATGTGAATGATTTGCAACTGTGGTGTGACAATAAACCATAGTCATGGTGGTGTTCTGCTAGATCCTCTGGAGGGTGGGCAGGGAGGAGAGGAGGGGTGCACCGTGCACATCTCCTCCTCTTGGACATCTTGGTGACCCCACAGAGTGGGAGAGAATCCAGACTTGAGGTGGCTCCAGTTCTGRGGGTTCCCAGAACTGCTTCCCTTCAAGGATTTCTGGCTGATTTTGGGACACTGCTGCCTCAGGGCCACCGGTTGTTGGTCACTGCTTCACTGTCCCCTCAGCCCTGGCCTGCAGGGATCCCCTCTGTGGGAAGGCAGAGGAGTCTCTTTGCATGGGTTGAGACCAATTTTCCTCATCAAGCAGCAGGGGCAGGGATGCTCCTACCTCCCCACTTGCTCCCACTCCTCTGGAATGGGACAGGCAGCACCCAGCTGGTTGATCAGGGACRTGGGTTGTGTTTCTTCTGGGAAAAATGTGTTTTACCAGCAGGATCTAGCTTGTCTTAGTAYGGTCATGCATAGTTTAGTTTTCAAAAAGGCCTCTTTTAAAATACATAGATGTCGGAAAAGATTGGAAAGGTGGATTCCATCCTTGTGATCAGCAGAGAAGCAGGGATTGGGAGGAGGCTGGAGGTGTTCAGATATATCAGAAGTGTTTCCTGACAGGTAGGAGAAGCTCAAGGAAGGACTCTGAAGTCAGTAGTTTTCTGATGGTTGGAGTGACCAGTCACCAGGACGGGCCACAGCGGAGCCTGCTAGGGTTAAAAAAGAGAGAAGGCCACATCTTTAAGGGGATTTTTCAAGCAGAGCAGTAAATTTGCAAATTTGTTTATTTTTAAATCAGTGGATGAAGCCCATTCTTCAAAGTGTGAAGAGTTTGGAGTCAAGGAGCTGTTACCAATTCCCACAGGAAAGATGGGTTAGTCCTGTCTCTGAGCTACTATACCAACTCTCTGTGTAACTCCTGAGTATCTTACCCAAAGTGCTGAAAGCCAAAGGGAGCACTTTCTTGGTAGAGAAAGCAAACCCAGACCAAAATTTTTCAAAAGCAGTGGATTTCCACATCAAAATTTTGATTTTGCTATTCTGAAAATCCAGGGCAGGTGAAATTTTAGAAACCACCATAGAGCTTTTCATCTTAAGTGTAGTCAGTGACCCAATCAGTGTTCATCCATGAAATACAGACCCCTGTATCTCACAGCTGCCTGCCTCTCAAGAGGTGCATGATGAAGTCAGAGGTACTTGCACAAAATTCATGCTCACCACACTGGAGTGGGTTTGTGTGCCTGCACTTTGGCACTGACACCTGAAAGCACTGAGCTTTTGTCTTCTGCAAGACTGGAATAAATTGTTTTCTATTTCATTGACACTTGTAAGCCTGTTTGAGGGAGCTGGATGGAAARTGTTAGAGAAAAACTATCAGTTGTTATTGTCATGGTTTTCTTACTCTCACCATGGAGAAGTGARCTGGGATTGAGTTCAGGCAGGGAGAGAAGATTAAGAAGGGTCAGACCTGTAAATAAAATATGTTTAAGTACTGTGGTTTAGAAAACTGAAGTTTTTCCATGCTTAGAGCAGAACTTTTCCTGCYCTGTATGGAATGACTGGTATTTCCATCCTTAATCCATAAAACCCTCTGGCACTACAAGAGAAATAACCACTTTAGAAAGGCACAGAGCAGCTGGCATAACCCCTGAAAYTTTGGTCATAAGTTTCCTTTCTCCATCCTGTCGTGCATATCCTTAGTGAGCTGCGGACCAAATGCCATAACATGGCACAATGACAACTCCTGTTCATGCAATGCACTGCAGGATCACTGCACTTTCCTTGAAAAAGGACCAAAGGTCCCTTTCCCAAGATTTTACAAACTTACAGGCTCATTCAAAGTCCTCTGGAATCCGAACAAGCTCCAGACCTATTCCTGGGATGGTAAAAAGTAAAAATGCTTGGGGTGGAGTGATGACAGTTGTGGCTTTTTTTCTCCTCTGCGGGCTGAATTKAATACCCTTGGTAGTTTCCAGCTGTGGAAGGTGTTGGTGTGATCAGTTTTCACAGTTGGTGTTTGCTTTGGGAGCTGTCAGAGAGTGCTCATTGCTGGAGGGGAAGGCAGCCCTGTCTCTGAATCACCTCCTGGCCCAGGACACCTTCCCCAAAGAATATTTGCTGTCTTGAACCTCCCTCTTCTGGGATACTCATTTGAAGGCATCAGCCCTTGTTTTTAAATACCTGACTGCTTTGGAAGGGAATTGTGGTTGTGGAAAGGCGAATGTTGGATCAAGAGCTGCTCCTCATGGAGGATATCTATTTTCCTGACTKCCCAGCAATGTCCTGCCCTGGATTTCACACCAGACCTGGAGGACCTTTATAGGGCAAAGGGCTGGTAATCTCCTGCTGGTTAGAAAAGTAAATCCTGTGAGGTCTCATCTCGGGTAAAAGTGGGCTGAATCCACCCTTGTTTTGATATATGGTGTTTATCCCTTTTGTATAACAATAATATCTTGACTTGGTGTGGGGCTTTGTTGGTTGGACAGGGTGCTTATTACCATAATGCCTGAAGGATGATTGAGGCTTAAACCCTGTTTACAGTCTAGGGCTTTTGGTTTCTTTCCTAATGTACAACAATAGTTGTAAAAAGAGATTAACTTTTTCCCATGTTGCGATAGGAGCTCTGAAGAGTTCAAAGCCGATTTCTATTCTGTGTATATTTTCAGGGTCCTTGCTTCTCTGTTTCATATTTATTTACATGTTCAGCTTTACTTTCTTCCCCAGGCCTGTCTTGAGCCCTGTGTTTGTTTTACAGAATTGAGCCCATCCCTGATGCTCCTGGGAGCTCACGGAGCCAGGAGATGGAGCAGCTCTGAGCAGAGAATCAGAGCTGCTGTGAGCCAGACCCTGGTGCCATTTAACACTGATGCCACCAAAGGTGCTGGGGCTTCTTTTGTGGCTAAAAGTGACCCATCTTACGTGTTTAATGGCGACTCCCCTTCCTGGACCTCTTGGTGGGCAGTTTGCAGGTGCGGAGGGCCGGGGTGTCCCTGATGGGCTGTCCCCGGTGCTGGGCGGGCGTGGAGCAGGTGTCCTCAGCACGGGTGCGGTTGCCCTTCAGCCACCTGTCATGTGGGGAGGAGGGAAAATAAGAGYTTAAAAAAGGCACAAAGCATGGATATCAGCGGGCAGGAGCTGCTGAGTGTGACAGCAGTGTCCTGGCATGAATTTGGGGGCTCAGGGAGACCCCAGGGAGCGCGGGACAGGGGGAGCAGGGCCGTACTTGCGCAGGGGTGCCAGCTGGCAGTTGCAGTGCCAGGGGTTTCGGGAGATGGTCAGCGTCTCCATTTTGTCCAGGGGGAAGTTGCGGGGCAGCTGGGTGAGCCGGTTGTTCTCCAGGTGTGCTGTTTTCAGCGCCGTCACGCCAGYGAATGCGTTCTCTGCGAACTGAAGCACAAAGGTTTGCTGTGAGGATCGTGGAGCTGGAAATGGGGACTCCAAACCTGCTCCAGACTTTGGGTGGCATTAAGCACAGGGCACTGGGACATGGTGCCCAGAGGAGCTGTGAATGCCATTCCTAGGAGCARYCTGGTGTCCCWGCCCACAGCAGGGTGTTTTGGAAAGGGATGATCCTCAATGYCCCTTCCAACCCAACYCAAGCCATTCTATCATTCTGTGAAACAGGGAGAGAGCAAGAGAAGGAGCAGTGAGCAGAGTYCTGGCTCACTGGAAGCTCTGTGCACTCGAGAGGCAGCAGGCTGGTGGTGGTGATGGAATCTCCTACAAGGACAGCTATGTCCCAAATCCGTGTGGGATTGCCTTTGCAGCCACATCCCTAAACAAATTGAAGCCTGGCAGCCCTTTTTTATTTTTGAGCCGTACTTCTCCATTCTAAATGAAGACATTTTCTGGCGTATTCCTTTCCAAGGCTGGAAATCCTCCCAAGGCCTGCTGCCTTGCCTGTCCTGGAGCGACTGAAGGAGGAGTGTTTGTGGCGTCTGAAGGGGCTGTAGACTTTGGCAGTGCCCGGGGGCTCCGGCTGGAAAGTTACACTTGGCATCTGAGCAATGCAGAAATACAGGCAGGTTTCCAGCACCTCAACTGCCTCCATTTTTTTTTCTCATTTCCAGCGGTTTCTTTTCAAGGGATGCTGCAAAATTTGTCTTTTCTCGGTTGATGGGGAGGCTTGAAGGTAGAGCCTCCCTTGAGAAAGCTGCCAAAAAGCAGGGAGAGGCTGTAGACCTGGCTCTGCAGCCCTCCCCTYTCTTCCCTGAGGCCTCATCCCTGGCATTTTTCAGCCCAGGGTTACTCAGCTTGGAAAGCTGTTGAAAGCAAACCYCTCAACACAAACTTCCTTGGCAGTGATGGATTGGAGAAGGGCTCACTGACAAAGCACAAAGCTCCTCTTGGCTATGACAAACCATTCCTCCTCCCTCTCTGAGTGGAGGGRGAAGCTTTCTCTGAAGGTTGGAGATTCACTGGGTCTTCCCAAAGCTCCCCAGGACCTGTGCTCCCGTTTCTAAAAAGAGCCTTGCACTTCACACGGACCATCAGGGYGTGTTCATGCTCTCTAAGCTGCAAAGCTCCACAGAGGAAACTCACTATTTTAAGCTGTGAACTTTTGTCATCTTCCAAATTAAGCGTTGCTGGATGGGATTAGGGCTTAGCTCAGAGACTCCCAGATCCCTGTAGCTGTGGGGCAGTCAGCATTGCTGGCCTCCTCCATCCAAAGCTGAGCTGACCTTGGGAGGTTGGGCTGTGCTGATGGTGGAGCTGCTCCGAGGGATGCTGGCACGCCGTGCAGTGGGGAGGGAGCTTTGGACAGTGCTGTTACTGTCTCAGCTGCTCATTCCTCTCCCAGTCCCATGAGAAGAGTTCACATCTGCTGCTAACAGCTGCCGAGACGCCTGCCAGAGCGTGTCGTTGGGAAGAAAAGGGTGATTTTTGTCCCTAATTTAGATGGAGGGCTGCTGCTGTTAATTTATTTTGAGCTGAATGCGCAGACAGGAGTGCCTGTCTTGTGTTGAGGTTTGAGGAGGGTCCTGGGCTGTGCAGCACAGCCTTGTRGGGTCTGGTGTGGGTYTGTGATGCTGAGGGGGAAGGGGAGCTCYGTGCTGGAGMCTRAAGGCTGTCCTTCCTTCTGCTCACGTGCCTGTTAGGCTGGGGTAGAATTGCGTGGGTTTACACTTGACCAGCTCAAAAATCTCACAGCCACGCAGGGAACAGCTAAGGACAGCATGTTTGTGGAGGAGAAAGAGCTGCAGTCAAGATGCCAGCAGCACTTARAGCATTTGGTGGTGATTTCCTGGATCACATGGGCTCTGTGATGTCTCTTGGCAGTGCAGAGTTCACACTTGGGCTGTTGGATATGAGGCCTTGGAGGGTTTGAAGGGAAAATGCTGATCTGGGAGCTTTGTATTTGCAAAGCCTAAAGCTGCAGAAGCCACCCCTGTTAGGGCTGATMCCATAAACTGGTGTCCTGTTGGGCTCTGAGGAGGAAAGGAGGCACWGGCTGCACAAGAGCTTTTAGAGATCCTGTCCACAGGTGGTCACTGTGAAAAACAAAGTCCTATTTGCTGGCTAGAATTGTTATCCTCTGCTTCCTGGCCAAACCAAGGATGCTTGTTTCCCTGGAACACCCCAGAGTCCAATTTTTTCAATATGTGACTTGGGACTGATAATTCTAGCTGGAACAACATCATGCTGCAATATTTGACTGAAAGTGCCTTAAAACTGAGTCTACCCAAGTGCTGTGACCTCCTTGCCTAGTAAGGTCAGCAGATTGTTTTCAAGTGTTATGTTTGCCCAGTCCCATCCTGGAGAGGTTAATGCTCAGCGTGGACAAGGGATTAAACACTGAAATATTACTGAACTGGTTTAATTAGTGTTGTTCTGCACCTGGACAAGCTGTAATTCCAGTTTTTGAGCTTTTTGGGGTGTTATATCCCCTTGAAAACCCTGGTGTGATGCATTTCTTGTGGCTTTCACTTGATCTGCTCACCCCTGTGAGACTCTGAGCTGCCCTTTGTTGTGAAGAAATTATTTTTCCTCACATCTTCCTGTATGTGGTGGGTGTTGCTTTGCCATGAAGTCCCAACCTACCTCACCTGGATGTTTTTTGTCTCAGTGCTTCCTGGAAAGGCATTATCCCAGGTTCTGCTGTTCTGCTCCCTTTCCAGCCAGGGGGATTCACCCAGGAYTTCAGGCAGCATCAGGGTGCTGTGCTGGGCTCTGCAGCAMTGCCTGGCTTTTCAAAACYCCTGACACAAGTGATTCCCTGAGTGTGATGCTCCTGCCTATGCTCACAGGAACAGGAGGGGGTTGTTTTTCCCTTTGGGACACCCGAATGTCCCTCCTCCCCTTTAGTGGGAACAGGGCCCCTTTGTAAGATGCTGCAGGAGTTCCTTTGGAGAGAGCATCAATAAACAAACCTTTCTTTGTAATGTGTCGGGTTGGAGGCAGTGGGGAGGCCAAGGTGAAGGTCTGTACCCCTACCTGTCTGCAAGGCAGGGGGAAAAAACCAGGACTATCCACAGCCCCTCCGAGGAGTCTCCCCCTCCCAAACTGCAGCAGGTACCTGGGCTGGGCAAAGAGGCAGAGGTGGAAGTGCCCTCCAATCGGAGGGATGTGCTCACCTCTCATCCCTCACTTTGTTTCTAGGAGGATGGAAGTTTCCTAATTGTCCTGGAGCATCCCAAACACCTTTCTCAGTGCCTGTCATCTCCAGCTTGGGAGGGAATGCACACACTGCCTTGTGTCCATCCAGGGGGGTTAATCAGCTCCARATAAATTGATTTTGCATAAATAACTCAACAGGAGGGTTGGGTTCTCTGTCTTAACCCCTGATTGAGCCRTGTCAGGGTGTTGTCAGTGCCTTGCTGCCTGCAGAGCCTGCAGACCTGCATCTCCCCTCTCCCTGCWAGGCAGGGACAGMAAACTGAGGGCTTTGTAAAAGGGGAAGAAAACCAAGCCCCATGTTTCTGATCTGGAGCAAATGGGAAGAGAAAGKACTCACCTTCTTCAGTTTCATGTTGTCCAGGTGGAGTGTCTGCAGGTATCGCCCGAAGGACTGGAAGGCGTTGTCAGGGATGACCTCAATTGGGTTATGGGAAAGTTTCAGCTCCTCCAGCACTCTCAGCTTGCTCATTGCATTCACGGGGTAGCTGCTCAGCTGGTTCTTGTCCAGGTGGAGGACAGCGAGGTTCTCCACATCCTCCATGGCCCCAGGCAGGAGGTTTGTGAGCGAATTGTCCGAGAGGAAGAGCCAACGCAGGTCTTTAGCCCCGTCAAAAGCCCCTGGTTTGAGCTCCCGGATTTTATTGCTGCCCAAGTGCAGGATGAAGAGGTTGACGAGAGGGGAGAGGAGCCCTTTGGGTAGGTCTGGGATCTTGTTCTTGTCCAGGTACAGGTAGGTGAGATCAGACAGGTCCTCGAAGGCTCCTGGCTTGATGACACTGATCTGGTTATCGCTGAGATAGAGGTAGACCAGGCTCTTGAGGCCACGGAARGCACCACTGGAGATCTCCTTGATGCGGGAGCTCTGGAGGTGCAGGGACACCAGCTTCTTCATGTCACGGAATCCGTTGGGCGGCAGGACAGGGAARTTGTTCTTCTGCAGGTTGAGGAGCCGCGTCTGCTCGGGCACCTTGGGGATCTTCTTGAGCCCCGCGTTGTCGCAGATGACGTGCTGCAGGTCCCCGCCGTGGCAGTGGCAGCTGGGGGGACATGCCTGCACGGCGGAGGAGAGACATGCCAGCAGGCTGAGGACACCGAGGARGATCCCAGACCCATTCATGGTCAGATCTGGAATTCAGTGTGGTGGGAAGGGAAGCGGGAGGAGGAGAGAGATGGGTGGGAGAGAGAGAGAGAGAGACTGGGTTTGCAGCATACTGAACACAGCCCTATTTATAATGTTATTAAAAAGCAAAATCCCTTCCCACAAACCGCAGGCAGCAGCCAGTTGGAAACAACTGGCTTTGGGAAGTTACTGTGAGCTTAACCCCTTGGCACCAGGCAGAGCAGTGTCCATGGCCCTGCCTGGCCCTGCTGCTGAGCCACGTGCAGAGGCAGTTTTCCTCTCTAGAGGAAAAGGGGAGGCAAATWATCAGGAAGAACCAATGCAGACCTGTTCTGTGGAGAACATTCCTGCTGAGATGAGCAGGACCCAGAGTCATCTGCAGGAGGGGAAACAGCCAGTTTTGGTTGAACAGCATAGCAGGGAGCACTGCTGAGCTCCACAGCCAACTCAGGCCAGAGTTTCCAGCAGGCTCTGGGGTTCTATTTCACCCCAACTGGTTTGGGGAGAAGCACCTTGTCCTGTTCTCTCAGAGGAAGGTTCCTGGTGTGGGCAGTGTCTTGTTTCACTGATTCAAGAGGARTTTGCCTAAACAGGGATTGGAGAAGGTGGGAGTGATGTGGGGTCACGCCAAAGGCCAACAGTGCTGCAGTTGCTCTTGTAATGCAAAATTTTGKTTGAAGTCTTCCAGATCTATGCTGCACTGAGGAGCTGGCCAAGAAAGAGAGTGCAAAGAGTCTTAATTTCTGCTGTGTCTTTCCTTRTGAGCAGTTGAGGATGGCGTGGTCCTGGTCAGGACACCTGGTGCCTTCCAGCAAGGGATGGGGCAATATCAGAGCCTGCAGGGAAGCAGTGGGACACGGGGTGGTGGATAGGAAATGCCAGTGTACAGCTAGGTGGCAATGCCTGTGGCTCTTGAGACAGAGCTGTGAGTAGGGAAAGGCATTGGTAAGGGATGGAGAGGCAGCAGAGCAAAGAAATCCCTGCTGGAGCTGGGATGGGGATCTGCCTTGGCTCCTGTGTTGGGGTAGCAGTGGCAGAGGTGAATTWACACCGCAGGGGATGTCCCTGCTCTCCCAATAAAGAGGGCTAAAGCAAAGCAGTTAAAAGCTCCAGCGCTTCTGTGAGTGTGAAGRGAGAGATCCAGGGGTTGCGGGGTGGGGTTTGGAACGGGAACATTTTGAACTGATTTCCAGCCAGCTCCTGGCTGCAGCGAGCAGCGGAGAGCCGAGCACATAACTGCGAGCTTGTTGAGATCTCTGCTCCCGAGGCTGGCTGCAGAGCCCCAGCGGAGCCTGTGCAGAGGCGAGACGGGCTCGAGAAAGGGAGCAAATCCAAGGGCTGACTTAGGACACAGACTGGCTTATTCACCGAGGTTTCTGGGTTTTTCCATTGTTGCAGCGAGGAATCAGCCGGCGCCGCCGAGCGCGCTCCGGACCGTGTTATGCAAACGGCCTGGCCTGGTCAGCAGCTGTCAGTCTGAGAGGTGTTTGCWCTGCAGGGCTAAATTGGGGCAGAAAATAGGCTTCTGGGGTGGGAATGTGGTTCTGGTGAGCCTGTGGCCGAATGRTGATGTAATGTGGGGCCTGGGTGCAAACCAGGCCATGTCAGCCCTGAGGTGTGATGCCCTGACCTTGAGCAGCTCACCTCAGCACCAGGAGCTTCTCACCTCTGGAGAGATGCTGTGACCTTGAGAGYTCCTGGTTCCTGTTGGATTTAAAGCTCTTTGATCCAAGCAATGGTACTTAGGCTTGTGCACCATGATGGTCATGCACATGCTTTGCTCTCTGGAGGAGCTCTTTGAGTTCTTTGTCAGGAACTTTGGGACAGAGAAACAGGAGCTGGACAGAACCTTCTGTGTTTTTCTTCCTTYCCTCTCCAGTTTGCTGTTCCATGATCCTGCAACTGAGAGTGCCCCTGAGCGTGCACTGCTCATAAACCTGTGGCAGGGAGCTGGGTGAATGACTGGGAAAGAAAAGAAAAAAATCACCTTTAAAGCATCATCTTCTATCCACTGATTGATTTGATTCTTTTTCCTCTGGGGAGGTTCAACCACTTTAGTTTTTACTGTAATCATTTGATGAACAATTCCTGCAGCTATGTACCAGTTATTCCGTTCAAGAGCAGCTGGTGGGTGAAATTTAAAACCCAGCCTGTTTCTKCTGGGCACTCAGTCTGGGGACTGCTCCTTCCCTGAGTGTCTGGTACTTGGATTTCCCATCCCATTGCAAAAAATATCATCTGACAGCTCACTGCAGAGACAGCAGCCAGTGTGGGTCAGGTTGGAGCAAAAAGCTGGTGAGGGCCTTGCAAACCCCATCCATAAATACATCCTACCCACGTGTATTTCTGGAACAAGACCCTTTTCAGAGGTTGAACTGCTCAAATCTGTTTTTCTTTTTTCCTCTGAGGATAAAATTCCCTTTCTTCCACCTTTTATCTGACTGAGGCTGCTGATTTTGGGGGACAGGGACACTCCCTCACTGCAGGGATGTGTGTGGCTGTGGCTGTGGGTACCAGTGAGACCTTTCTTGTGAAAATGGGATGYAGCTGATGATGCTGGTGTGAGGTGGGAAGCTGTCCCTGCTCCAGGATCCCTCCAGCCCCGAGCCTGCAGTAGATTTTAGGTGAATGCTGGGTTATTTTTGGTGCCACAGTGGGGTGGCAGCGGGGAAAAGGCGTCTGCTGCTCGGATCCCTTCCTCCAGGCACAAATGGTGAATAAAAGGAAGTTCTTTCCCCTAATATTTTTTGATTTCTCTGCCTCGGTGAGCACATTCCTGTGGTGGGAGCTGCTTGGCATCTGCCACAGCTGGCACCTCGCCCCCGGGCTCCTGGCTGTTTGTGTTTTGAGCTGCTCTCAGGACAGCTCTGCTCTTCCCACATCGGGTTTTGCAGACCTCAAATGTCCACCCATCCTCAAAAGCCCGCCTGGGTCCCGCTGGTGGGCGGTTTGCAGTCTGGAGGTGACAATGGAGCASTGTCAGTGTCCCTGTGCTGTGGTCAGCTCCTGCCTCGCACGTCCCCTGGGAGCAGCGCTGCAAGGACATCACAGAAGAGGCAGGATTATCCTGCCACCCTCTCCTTTTTAATTGATTAACAGCTCTGCAAACATTCCTGGCGATTTGCAGATGCCAAAYTCCACTCCTCTCCTTCTTGGAGACATTGTGGGCTAAGCAAATACATTTTTGAAGCAGTAYAAATACAGATTTGGGGTGTTTCTTTGATGCTGCAGGTCTGAATTTTATTGGTGCAATACTGGACATGGCCCTTTCCTTATTTAATAATTATTTTTGTTCGTGTGAACAGTTCTGGCACATCAAGACAGCTCCATGTTAAAAYACTCCATTGCCTTTTGGGGCTCCAGATCTGGTTTTGTGTGTCAGTGCAGACTTGCAATCACTTTCTTGAAGTGGCACCAGTGTAGCTGGCTTTGGGGTGCAGCCCTTCTCATTTTGGCTCAAGCAGCTTCTGGGGGTGCCCCAGACCTTGTGGGGTGAACCCCTGCCTGGCATTGGGGTGGGAGCAAGGTGGGAGAAGRTGCAAACTCCCAGGGATTTGTCCCAAGGGCAGAGGATGCTCCAGGCAGGGTTTGAGGAGCAGTGGTGAGTGGGTAAAGGGGAGCCCCAGAAGCTTTCCTGGGTTCCCCCMTCTTCCAGGCAGCCCCTGAGTGTCCCAGCAGTGGCATCCAGGGCTCTGAGTTCAGATCTGATTTGCCATTTTTATTTGAAATGCTTGAAGAATTCCCATCCTTGCGGAGCTGGACGAGGTGGTGGTGGGTTCCACCTCCTTCCTTCTGATGGTTTTCTTCCACTGTGGCGTGGCCTCCACCCACTGATCTGCTGCCAGTTTGGCTCCCTGTTGATGTCCACCCACCCTTCCCTTCTGCTGATTCCAGCAGCTGCTGGATGATGCTCTTGGCCTCTCCTGTGGAGCTCACACAGCCCTTGCAGCCTCTCCCAGCCCTGTGTCCACCCTGTGAGCCACCAGCCGTTCCTGAGCATCCTGCTGCTCTGGCCAGGGCTCTTGTCCTGGTTTGGAGAGCCTTCCCCTGGTTTGCAGAGCCTTCCCCTGGTTTGCAGAGCCTTCCTCCCTCGTGGAGCACCCCTGAGCCATGCAAGACTCCTGGCTTTCCCAAACTCTCCCCAGCCATGAGGCCCCTCTGTTCCCAAAATGGAAAATGGGCTCCAATATGATGACAATTCCCTGCTTGTGCTCGGCCGCCCCATCCCACCCCACCTGGTTTTTTTGGGGAGAATCTGATGAGCAGGTGGTTTCTGCAGCTGCAGAAGCTGTGGGAATGGGCTGTGAGAACATTTAAGGAAGCAACAAGATCCTGGACTTCCTGGAGCTGAGCTGAACTCTCCAAACCCACAGGGATGTTACCTTTGCCCCTCAATTTTTGCTTGGAGCATCAGGTGGTTTTTCCACCTTCTCACGAGAATTTGTACACTTCCTCTCACTTTTTCCTTTTAATCCCACTTTTCCCAAAGGCATTGGCACCAGCACTAGAGATGATGGAGTTAATTGCACAGCAAAGGGCTTTTATCACTCTGTGGATAAACCAGTAACCATGCCTTTGCTGGTTGCCATCTCTGCCCTGCTGGCAGGGCAGGGGAGATACTCCAAGCCTCAAGTGGCCTGGAGAAAAGAGAAGCAGCTTTAATTTCAGAYGAGGAGGAGCAGCTTTCCTCGCTGGGCAGCAACAGGAGGTTCATCCCCAGCTCAGTCTCAGCCTGGGCACGCTGTGTTGTTCTTCTGCTCTCCTCTTGAGTCAAAGCCATGGTGTGCCACAGCACAAAGAGGGTGCTTTGGRCACCTGATATTTTTGGGATCTTTTTTAAGCCCCATCCAAACTGGGGAACTGCCTGGCAGCTCTCTTGGTGGGGAGAGAWGCCAACAGGGTGGCCACCCTTGGAGATTTGTCCTACAAGACCTGTTTGTTTGTGTCCTGACGTTTCTGACACAAAGATGGTACTGTTGCTGGGGAAGGAAATGAGATTCGCTGTGACACACGGGGCTGGATGTGATCAGAAGTTGTTTTTTTGCAGTGGCAAAGTTGACCTGAAGGTTCAGGAATATTCCAACACAATTTGGGATAGTGGGATATCTCCAAAGCGAGGAGATGCATGTCCTCAGAGGACAGAGGAGTTTAGGGTGATCTTGGCAGTGAGCAGCAGAGTGAGGGAAAGCTGTGGCTCAGTTGAGAATGATTTGGGGCTGGCTGTGATGGGAAGAGCTGGGCTGGCTTTGGTGGAGATACCCAAGACAGACACACTTGGCTGTAGGGATAATTAGATCCATCCAGTCTGTCACGCTGAGAGGGGTTCAAAGGGCCTCTCAGAGGTCCCTGAGCACATCTCTTGGGTTGCCAGCCTGCTTTCTGTTGTTCATTAAGCCCTCTTTGAAGCCTGAAAATCCCTGTTATTTCACGGTCAATTTGCTACAGTTTTTCCCGAGGCCAATATTGTCTCCAGCAAAGCTCAGTTTCTGTAGGCTTCAGTTTGGCAGTTCAAGCCCGGCCATCATCATCCTCCAGCGTGGCACAGCCACAGGGAGRTGACCAGGGMTGTGAAGGTCCTTTCTGAGCAGTGCTCAGGCCCAGAGCTGAGTGTCCTCCAAGCACCTCCTGCAGCCCTGACCTTCTCCAGCCCCACCCAGTATAACCCCACTCGGGGTACTGGTGGTACAAACCCCAGAATTTTCATCCCAGCAGTTGAATGTGGAGGGCACTGGGTGTTTTCSTTGCTGCTGAATGCAGGGGAAAACCAAGGAGCAGAGGGCTGGTGTGGTTTGTTCCAAGTTATGCAGTAAATAAGCGGCACAGCTGGGAAAAACCCAGGGTCTTCAGAGTCCCCACTGTCCCCACCACATCAGCCTGCCTCCCCAATGTTTACTAAAGAGACTGGAGTCTGATTGTTTTCACTTTATTTTTAATTTTTAGCCGCTTCCCTCTTCAGGCTGTTTTGCCTGTTCCACAGTGACCAGTGTTTGAACAGCACTAGCAGGAAATGTTTGGGAAATGTGCTTTAAAAAACACAGTCCTGCTAAGATGTTCTTTTTATTCCTGCTTTGCACAGAGGCTTAGGATTCACAAAGAATGAAACTCTTGTTGGTAGGAGCAAGTTAGGCAGTGGTTTGTTTTGGAACTGTCCTTGTCATCACTGAGGGCAGGACTGATCTGGGTTTGGGGGGGTCACTTGTGGTCCTACAATAAAAAAAGGCTTTACAGTCAATTATATTCTGTATTATTGTAGCTCCTCTCAAAGCCAAGGCTCCAAGCTGGAGTCTTTCCCTCTGGAAAGCTCTGCTTTGACACCAGACACAGCTCCAGTGGAAATTATGGAGCTGATGCTGAAATTATTGGGTGAGGTTTTCTGGACCGAGTTACACCAGATGACAAGGCTGAATGATGCTAAGTGTCCCTTTGGGTCCTGAAAGCTAGGAATCTTCATGGCTATCTCCAAGTTTAAATTGGTGTGCAGGGTTTCGTGGAAGTGTTGTTTCATCTGCTGCTGACAGCGGGGATGTTGGATGCTCCACGTGTCAGATAAGGGCTGGGAAGGACAGCAGTGCTGGCACAAGGGTTTGCTCCGTTCCTCGCCTCCATCCTGGGAATACAGCTGGGAAAAAAAAACACCCCAAAAGGGAAATAACATCTTGGAAAGGTCTGGAGCAGCATCCTGGTGTCTGGCTGTAGAGGGATGTGCTGTTGTGGGCAGGGGAAGGCAGAAATTGGGAGGCAGATCAGGGGATGGAGGGTCAGACCTGTGTTGCCCTCTGGACTGGTCAGGAAGSCCATTCCTGAGGGTGTGAGGGTGTTTATGGGGACAAGCCACGGGCCAAGGCAGCAATAGCTGGTGTTTGGGGTACAGGGCACGGTGCCAGGCATCTGGAGGAGCCAGGGCACTCACAGCACCATCCTGCCAGGGTCCTGCCTGCTCCTGCATCCAATTAAACTGCTGGAGCAGAGGCAGCGAGGATTGACTCAGGGCTTGGCTGGGGTYCTGGGACCAACGCTGCAATTCATCCAGCCGAGTCAAACAAAAAAACAAAGGCGCTGGGATTTTTAATAAGTGTTTAAGGTCTTGGATTTGGGTCTGGTCAGTCATTTGATCCAGGCACAGGACTCGTATTAGTGGGTGGGAGAGAAATCCAGTCTGAGCATGAGACGCTGTGGGTTTGCACCCGGCTGGGATGTTGTCCTTGTGTCTGGGAGCAGAAGTCTATTCACAGTCACTCCCTGGGGGCTGCCAGGCTCTGAGCAGAGCAGTTCACACCAGATGGTCCCTGCAGCATCCTGGAGAGGTTCTGCTCCAGATTCCTGGATGAAAGCAGGCTCCAGCTTGGATTCACACTGACCCTGGTGCAGTCAACAAGAGCGTCAGCCGTTGTGACAGACTGTGCCCAACATGAGCTCCTCCAGCAGCTCCAAGAACGCGCCAAGAGCTCCAGTGTTGTTACACAGTGCTGTGCATGGTGCCAGTGTTGTGTTCAGCTCATCCAGGATATTTTCATGTTTGTTCAGATGCTTCATTGCAGTCCTTTGCAAAGCCCCACGTTAATTTGGGGCACAATGCCTGGAGTTTAGTGAACACCATGCAGAAGCCATGGCCATGCAGGCACAGCTGGGCATTTGCTCTGTGGGAGCTCACCAGACCTGGGTGCCAGGGCAGTTTGGTGGGTCAGAGCTGCTCACGTGTCAGTCTGGAGAAGTGGAGGAGAAATAAGGAAATGCTTTTGCTCCCAGCAACGCAGACCCAGTGACATTACAGGGGTGACATTACTGAGTGGGTTAGAGACACCAGAGCAGTGTTCCCATTGCTGGAACCCAGCTCCCAAGAGCTGGAGATGTGGCAGAAATCCCAGCAAGGGCRCTGTTGGTGCAGCTCAGAGCTGCCCAGAGCACCTCCTGGGCAGCTCCCTCTTCCTCAGCCAGACCACTGGGCTGGGCATAAAGCRCTGGAATTTTCCTCCGAGGAGAAGTGACCTTCAGCTGAGGTGGCTCAGAGCCTGCCGTGGGGATTAGCGGGGAGGGAGGTTTAGCAGCGAGGAGCTTTGGTCCCGCTGTGAGGCTTTGGGTCTGCGAGGGCAGCTGTGCCGAGAGCTGAGCAGCCTCGTGATACCCTTACGAGGGTTACAGGGGCTGATGTCTGCACAAAAGGATCTGCAGCGAGCAGCCACGCTGCAGGACACGCTGTCCCCCACAGGAGCAGCCTCCAGGGCTTTTCCAAAGGGAAAAAAATGAGCTGTTAGAGATGCAAGGTGAGCTCAGCACCTTGGCTGCAAGGGCACCAAGGCAAAGTCAGTGTCTGGCAGAGATGGTGTGGAGTCAACAGGACAGAGCTTGGAGAAACAAGGGTTGAAAAAGAGGATGGTGTGCCCTGGGGCCCTTTCCAGGGATAGTAGTTCGGGTGTCAAAATAGTGACAGCCCAGGTGTTGTGGGGTCTGGAGCACTGTGAGGGAGGTGAGGAAGGCCATGGCTGGCAGGTGCTGTGCTGAGTGTCCCTGGAGAGGGGGATTGTCACTGATCACTGCTGGATGGAGGGATTGTGAGGGTACAGGGCAGGGGCAGSRRTTTCCTCCTCCCTMATCCCTGSTGCTTGARTGGACACTGMCAATTTCTGTAACAGGAGCTCTTTGACCTCTTCCCTGTGCTCAGAAACATCCTTCCTGTGTCTGCATGACCCTCTGGCGGCAGTGTCCCCATCCACAGCCACGAAAGCAGGGCTTCCCTGTGACCCGAGTGCCCTGGGAGAACACCCTCCTGCCACCCCACTGTCCCCTGCCTTGTCAGCTCCACCTTTGCCGTGCTCTGAGCTGTGTGCTCCCCTTCCCCCCTGAGTCTCATTTCCTCTCCTGTGTTTTCAGGTTGGCTATGGGACCACAGAGAACAGCCCTGTCACCTTCATGGCATTCCCCAACGACAGCCTCGAGCGCAAAACCGAGACAGTGGGGTACATCTTCCCCCACACAGAGGTGACCGTGACCCTCCCCACCTGCCCCAGGTTCCTCTGCCAGCAGCAGACCTTAGTCCATCCTCCCTGCCAGGTGATGGGTTCTAATTCAGCCCTTCTTCTCTTCCAGGCAAAAATTGAGGATCCAGAAACGGGGCAGCCTGTGCCTCTGAACACTCCTGGGGAGCTCCTGATCCGTGGCTATTGTGTCATGCTGGGCTACTGGAATGACCCTGCCAAGACAAGTGAAGTGATCACTGCTGAGAGGTGGTACAAGACAGGGTGAGTGTGGGAACAGCCCCGCTCCTCCCAGACTGTCCCACAGGGTGACACTCTATGGGGATCTGTGGGTGTGTGTAGGAATGCTTGGGATTTCCAAAGTAGAGAAAACTGCTGATTTATCCCTCTGATCTGTCTGTGACACTTCAGAACAACTTTTAGCAGTGCTGAGTGTCCCTGGAGAGGGGGATTGTCACTGATCATTCATTGATGGATGGAGAGATTGTGGGGGTAGAGGGCAGCGACAGGAATTTCCTCCTCCCTAAACCCTGGTGCTTGTGTGGACGCTGCCAATTTCTGTAACAGGAGCTCCTTCCATGTGTTCAGGTGGCATCTCCGYCATTACCCTCTGGATACCCTGGCTGGGTGGGAGCTTCAGCCATTCTTCCACCCAGCTGGGACAGGACTAGGAAGGTGTTGTCATTTCAGGGACCTGGCGAGCCTGGATGAGCAYGGCTACTGCAAAATTATAGGGCGTTGCAAGGACATGATCATTCGGGGAGGAGAGAACATCTACCCTGTAGAGATTGAGCAGTTCCTCCACACCCACCCCAAGGTGGAGGAGGCCCAGGTGAGTGGGAGGAGGTGGGGTGGGTGAGAAGCTGGTTTTGGGAATCCTGTACATAAAGCCTCTGGGATTGCTGCTTGTGATCTGGTTGTCTTTCCCTGTTTTCAGCATCAAATTCTGTGTAATATTGGTTGGCAAGGARGAGGGAGAGGTTCATGGGGTGGAAGGGGTAGGCAGAGCTCCTGGCATGGGGCATATGGATAAGGGCAATCCCCTTGAGCTCCAGCTGCACATCTGCAAAGTGCCTGTCATTCTTCAATTTTAATCTGCCTGTCCACTTTCACAGCTCCCTCTGAAATTCTTACTCAGAAARCAGTCTGGAAGGACAGATTTTACTGATAATTGCTCAATTCTGACTCTTCCAACAAGTCCCTGGAGATGARGAGTGAGACTTTGTTTTCACCCCTTCCCAAGACAGCAGAGATTTCCAGGACTGAGCAGCTGCTCCCAGTCTGCTGGGATTGTTCYCCTGCAGGTTTTGTGCCAGACAAGTTTTCCCATAAATAAACTGGTTATTTAGTCAGAGTTTCTGCCTGTGCCAGGCGAGCATCTCTCCTTGGAACCATCCCAGTGCAGATGGGTTGCAAACCAGCCCTGTTTATGTGGTTTCTAGGGCTTTATGTCACTGCTCTGGACTCAAAAGGATCGACGTGTCTCTAGGATTTTGAGATACTGGTTCAAGGCGGGGAATGACAGGAGGATTCTTGTGGAATAGCAGGAGCAAATTTTGGAGAGAGCTCAGGCTTGGGAAGCCCATCTCCTGCTGTCATGGGCAGTGGTCAGCTAAGATCTGTGATTATAAGGGTTTCAAATAATCCTTTAATTCGACCTCATCCCTCCCCTGCTGTTCCATCTGGAGATCCTAAAGCATTCGTGGCAGCCTACAAAGTCTCCCTGTTGTYTGAAAACCTCTTGCCACACTTTTTTGGGAAGCAGCAGTGTCAGTGATTGAGATTCAGACTCTGCTCCAAGGGTTTTTTTTGGATGCAAATCCATTTATTATAAAGAAGCYTCRTATTTTATAAGAATGCAAACAATTAACAATCAGTCTCYATTCACATACAATGTATAGCAATGGGYATAGCTTGTTCTTCCTCTATTCCCTTTCTCATTTTTTCCTCTATCTTTTTCCCATTACCACAACTTSCTATAAATTAACCTTCTYATATTTAATTATAACTATTTACCTAAAGTTTTTGTGTACCAAAACAAACAAATCTTCACTATCCAAAGCTTAGATTCCCACAGAGGGACAATAGTGTTGCACTCACAGTGCTCCAGAATCCGTGGTATGGGATCAGGAAACATGCCATGGGGCAGCACACAGACCCTGTGGGAGGACAGGGATGTCCCCAAGGGTCACAGTGTCCATCTGTCCTAACCAGGTGGTTGGTGTGAAGGATTCGAGGATGGGAGAAGAGGTCTGTGCCTGCATCCGACTGAGAGCTGGGCAGRACTGCACCGCAGAAGAGATTAAATCTTTCTGTAAAGGAAAGGTGGGTCCCCAGTCCTCAGTTCCCTTCCAGACCAGCACAACCAGGCTGCTGGGGACTGGTGGGTGAGAGCCCATGGATTTAGAGCATTGGGGGACCCAGCCCTGACAGCACCAGGCTGTTCTCRTGGGTTGTGTAGCTGTGGTTTTTCTCTTCCCAGATCTCCCATTTCAAGATCCCACGTTACGTTGTGTTTGTGAGCCAGTACCCACTCACTGTCTCAGGCAAGGTAAGAGGGGGCTGGGGCAGGGTGGGAACCTGGAATTCTTTCCCAGCTCCTCTTTGAGTCTCTCACCCTCCTTTCTGCACTCTATTCCAGATTCAGAAATACAAGTTGAGGGAGCAGATGGAGAAGCACCTTCAGCTCTGAGACTGAGAAGGCAGAACAAAAACCAGGATAAACCAGCCCCATTTCGATCAACTCTGAGTCTGCCTTTCACCTGTGCCTTGGGCTAAGCAACAGAGACTTTCCTTCCCTCCCTGACACCAGGCTGATGGCACTTTAGTCAATAAAACAGAGCGCCTTTTTTTCCCAGTTGGGTTTGTTTCTCTGCCAACAGAAATACTGTGGTGTGAGGAAGGGATGCTTATTTCTGGAATTCTGTCCGGTTACTGAAAGAACTAATGAAGGTTTGAAAATCTTGCATGTCTCTGAGGCTGCAGCCTTTTCAGAGGGGTTGAACAGATGCTGATGAGTATTTTACTGACATTTTGAAGTCCAAACACCCCAGCCTGCCTTCCCAGGGTAGGTGATGGCTTTTTTTGTTGGATGTTGTGAGACTCCTGGGTCATCTAWCAGCGACTGAACTTGAAATGAGGAGCAGGGGTTTCAGAAAATGAGACTCTGCATTGGAAGGAGCTTCCTACAACTGCCTGGGAAARCTCATCCTGTTCCCTCACCTCCCCCAAGTGTTTCCCCAAAAAAAAAACTTCTCCGAGGTCGACTTGGCTTTGTTTATTTTGTTGTTTTGGACAAGACAGACAGCAAGGTTATTGCAGAAATACCAAAATTCCTGTCCCATCGGCAGTGTGAAGCAGAGCCGATCTGGGACAGCGTTTTACGGGAGTTATTTGGTACCTCCCAACCATGAAACACTCCTGTGGGCAGGGGGAGAGCAGAGCTCCCCTTTGCCAGCAGAAATGTCCCACCCCAGCTGGAAAGCAGGTTATGATGCTGCCAACTCTCGCCGATCTCCCGCTGTTTCCCTCTTGCTTCCTTCCCGAGCAGGGCTAAGGCTGAGCCCCCTCCGGTGGGTGGAGGGAATGGTACAACAGGGAGAGAGGGGAAGCGTCAGCGAGGTCTCCATCCTTCATCTCGCAGCCGGGCCGTGGGGTCTACCCATGGAAGCAGATGGCAGGGACGAGTCGCCTGCTCTCATCTGCTCTCTGAAAGAAAAAAAAAAAAAAAAAAAAAAAAAAAGTGGATGGTTTGTGTGAAACTCTTTCTGCACAGTCACTTTCCAGCAAGTTCCTCCCCTGTTCCCAAACTGCTCCAGAGTGGGGCTGGTGACATCACTGGTGCTTCCACATTTCACACAGGTCTCCTCCCTTCCCTGGTTTTAGGATCTCTGTAGCCTTCCTTCGTGAGGTAAGARCTGTTACCTGCATGACAGCCAGTAGCCTTGGGGACAGAGAGAACCTCTGTGACTGATATCTAGGGAAGGACTGTTTGTGTTCTTTACCTTCCCACAGCACTAACCCAGGTGCAGGACAGGCCTGCAGTGAGAAGAGCTTCTCCTCTCACCCTGTTCAATACCTCCACCCTTGGCACAACCCCTGCTCTGCCCACAGGTGCCCCATGTTCTCCCCATAGCTGGGGGACAGTGGGTAAGAAATGAAGGTGATGTCAGCCCTGACTGGTGAGGACAGACACAGCGCTGAGAAACCCAGAGAGCCCTGGTCACAGCGGGGACAGCTYCTGCCACCCCAACCCTGCTCCTGTCCTGGGAGTGGGGCAGCATCATCCACGGGTCTGAGCCCAGCAGAGCCTGGTCCCAGGGCAGCTTTCCTACCATCCCTCACCATCCAGGACACCTCCCGAGCTGCCCCATGCCCCTTCCAAACCCCTGGGATGATGCAGCCCGGCTGTAAATACTCACASGAGAGTAAAAGCTGRTCCTTAAWGCTGGSAGTGCTGTCTCGGTGTGTGCAGTGYTCCAGGCTCGGTCCATGGCTCCTGCCCTGCTCCTGCCTGGGTCCCACTCTTATACTCCTCACTGCCTGCTCGGAAACTCCCCGAAGTGGGAAGGTTACATCAGGGGTGGCTTCCGCTCAGGAACGGGAATTTGCCGTCACAGCCTTTGTCATGGGCATTTCGAAGTTCCTCGTGGCTATTAATAGAGACATTAATAATGTCGGGGTTCGTCAGCTGCGGGTTTGCACAACCCTGTGTGGGGACAGGCCACCTCCCTCCGCCGAAAMGCTGGAAAACCCTTCCTGGCTTCGGGGAGCAGCGGGAGAAGGATGCGGGGGCAGGTCCCGGACTGCTCAAACCTGGTTGGGACCGTGTGTCCGCGGAGGACACCGGGAGGGGACATGGACCCCGGCACCGGGGGAGAACACCGGCACCGGAGAGAACACCGGCCCCGGGATCCCCGGCCCCGGGAGAGGACACTGACC